CAACTTCATTTTCTACATATGTTTTAGTGTGGTAGTAATTGTCTAATTATTGTCTCGAATATCTTTAACGCTCAACAACGTTCTTCCAGAGTGTGAAGAATAAAGTGTCTCTTGAATGGTCAAAATAGTGTCATTGGACAAAATTATACAAGCCTTGGCATCAGGAAACTATGGTGGAGAAGAAAATAGATAGGAAGGGGATAAACTGGAGACAGTTGGATTTAAATATTTTAAAAATAAGTTGCGATGATGCTTGGAACAACGAGACATAGAAAAGAGGGACATGTTAGTCATCAGGGACTTTGCTAGGATCTTGAAGATGGTGGGAGGCATTGGGCAATGCCTCTACCATTGCGTTGGTATAGTTGAAGCTACAACAATCAGACAAGCACTTCAGTACTCTACAATGAATGGACTTGATAAGGTTGGATCAAGCAATTAGTTTTATGGTAAAACCTCAACTTTCTTCAATTTGTGTTTGATGTAATGACAGATGATGTATGTGTTACAACCAGAATTTAATAAAATCTTTTGTCTTTTAAAAAAAAAAAAATTTAATAATAACCATAAGGTGGCCTAGTGGTTAGAGATGAATTTCAGGCCCGTATTTCACACGGAACGTTTTAGGTTCGGTTCTTGCTGCTAGTCTTTTTTTTTAAAAAAAAAGAAAAAAAAAAGAAAAGAAAAAAGAATTAATTAGTTTCATGATTTGAATGCATATTAAATTATTAATAACAAAATTACATTGTATAAGTAAATTAATTTTAACACACATATAATATATATGATAACAATACAACGTACGTGCCTAGTCTACGTGATTATACATGCAATTTTTTTTTTGTCATGTCCATGTGCCTAGTCTATGTGATTATACATGCAATATTATTTGATTCAAAATAATTGATTGTACAAAGGATTTTTTATTTTTTTATTTTATTTTTATACGAAAGGTGCCCTTTTTTTTTAAAGATGGGTAAATTGATTTATATATATGTTACTAATATTTATTATACAAGAAAGGTACAATTTTCTTATGTGTTTCATTGCTCATTATAATTAGGGTGACCAATAACATTTATTGAGATAATTTGGATTATATGGCATAAGTTGTACATATGTTGTAATAATTTGTTACATTTTTGTCTACACGGCAATCTATTTGAATTTTTTTTCTTTTGAACAAACCATATTATCTAGACTAAGGGAGAAGAGGGCGCACTTAGCCTCACAATGTGCTAGCAATAATGTGGTTCAAATTCGTTTTTGGCAAGAATTGAACCGAAAACATCTCACTTACAAGTAAACAGGAATATCATTAGACCGTAGTACTAAGTGACATTTGAATGTTTAAAATTAGGTGAGTTTTTGTTTGGAAATTAGGAGTTTCAAGGGCCTATCTTTAAAAGAAGGAGAATACACACCATACCCCTATAGAAATAGAAACAATAAAATATGGGGTGTGATATCCACACACCCCATTTTACTTCTCACACACCTTTTCAATTTTCGATCGTCGGATCAGATGAATTAACAAAGATCAACGGACAAATTATCAAGGGGTGTGTGAGAAGTCAAATGGGATGTGTGGATAGCACACCCCTAAAATATACAAGGAAAAGGGAGGGGTGGACATAGAACCTAACCCCTCTAAAACAAAAACCTCAAAGGTAATAACCTAAAACGCATGTTGCAAAGCAAAAAGAAAAAAATAAAAAAAAGATCAAGCAAAAACAAATTCATCAAAGGGGAGACAATCCTGTAGGTCGGGATGGCCTAAAAATTCATGTGCAACAAAGGAAGAGTCTCCAAGGGTGGAGCCGCATGCCATACAAGGAAAGACGAGAGTAACCCAAAATTTGCTAAATTATTGCCGATCACATTCCCTTCTCAAAAAATATGAGAGTAACGGAAAACCATGTGCTACAAAAAATCAAGGTGTATCCAAAACTTCATTGATTTTAAAGGAGTTCAAAAAGTCAAGGATTTTGATGGACTTTGAGTGCTTTTATAGTAAATTTTTTTGTCGTATCAAATTCAACCACTCCCCCTAAAATTTTGATGGATTTTATTTTTTTCACTCTTGATAATATACTCCAACCCATCATTATGCAATGATTATCCTTCCACCACCATGTCGCAATCACCACCTTATCATGATCATCTCTTCCACCCCACCACCGCCATTGTCACCATCACTGTTACCACCGCCATTGCCATAAGCATCATCACCACCCCCATCGCCATCTCTACCGCCGTCACCACGTAAACCACCTCAACTACTACCACCTTACCATGACCATCACCAAGGTCTCATCATCACCACCACTACCACCTTGTCATGTTGGTTAAATTTTGTTGATGTCATCACCATCATAGACACTACCTTCATCATGACAGCCACCTTTACTACCATAATCACCACCCAATTACCACCACCCGCACCCCTACTCTACCACCCCAACACCACCTATATCACCCAACTGCCGAAAATCACCACATGACTTCCACCACCTCATATGATCACTTTGAGATAATGAAAATTTAAAAATAGTAATATTTATTAATAAAATGGTCATTAAAAAATTCATGACAATCCACATAATTCTATTTAAATCCATGATTAAAGTCTCCCAAACTCCATCAAAATCTATATAGAATTCACATCAAAATCCTCATGGATTTCATGGAAGTCAAGTATAAGGTTGAATAAAAACTTGAAAAAAGGGAACACGAACCAAACCATACTATGCCTGAAGAACAAAAACCAAACCGAGAATACTCAACTATTCAGCAACCGAAACCAAAACATTCCCGAAAATTCGGTACAAGTATCATGAACTTATCTCAATATCTTCGATATACCGAACTTGAGAACCCGTTAACGAGTCAAGTCGTGTCGTGACCTCAGGTTTTGGTGTCATTAAAGGGACATGTCGTTTAATGTCTTTAACGGGGTCGAGTCGCTTCGTGTCGGGTTTACGTGTTATGCAAGAAATTGTCATGTTTGATGTCTAGGCCTAAACAATAGGTTGTGCACATGTTCTTTTTGTCTTATACCCATTATCTTATCGGGTTCTTAATTGGTAACCAGACAATGATCTGACTCGTTAATTGGTTATTAATAAATGACGACCTGACTCGTTAACGAGTTGACCCATAACTTATTATTTTTTTATCGTTTTATGTCGGGTTAATAAGTTGTGTAAGAATTGCTAGCCTATCCACCTATCAAATGATTTACACTATTGAATCTTCTTAACCGGAAATGGCTGGAGAGAGGAAAGGTTCCTTTTGTTAGGGTACTCCAGCGAACCAATCCAATGAAAATGGGGTGGGGCCTGTAGCTCAGAGGATTAGAGCATGTGACTATGAACCACGGTGTTGGGGGTTTGAATCTCTTTAGTTCTCAGAAAGCTTTTTACCTCTCAGTCGCTTTCATTCTAATTTGTACTACTGTATGCTCAAATTTTAGGCAAATTTATACTTTAATTTCATAAAATAATTTGTATGTAATTTAGGAATGATTTTTATTTAATTTTTGTTGTTTTTATGTTGCCCCCTCCCCCATATTTTGGATTCTAGTTTCGCCCAACCTCTGTGTTTGACGAATTAAAACTAAATTGTTATAGATTTATTCTATTTCATTGAAAGACTTTCCATTCATATAGTATGATTGTATTTGTGATTAAGATTGGGTGGCTAGATCTCATCCAATAAAGTAGAAATTAAGTGCCACTAAATAATCATTAACATTTTTTTGTTTGTTTATGGAGCCATGAGATCACACAAGGATATTCAGTAATCTTGGGCACCTTTTTGTCCCTAAAAATTAAGTGGCCAAGAAGAGAAAACTCGAAATTTCAAGTACCCAAATGTTTGAAACCACTACGCCCACAAGGTCATAAGCGTATATGGTTTTGTACTTTTGTCCGTGGTTAGGACTTCACGATTGGCTGCGCTTTCGTTTATATGAATCTAGAATGTAGATATGTTTCAAAAATTTATTTTTGACCAATTCAAAACGTTCTAAATCAACGACTAAAATCTGGTGTAAAATATGTGTAAAATAATGTGGCTGCTGAACCAAACCCTAAGTCCCAAGTCGTCTTGTGAGTCCAAACTCCAACGCTTATATTCTCCAGCGAAGACAAAATCTTTCTTTCTATTAAAATGGACAGCAACATACCATTTTTTTTAATTTCTTTCTATCAAAGAATCGTATGAATGGTTGATTCCTACGTAATACACTTTATTTTTGATTTGATTAAAAGAGTTTTACCAATTCCAACAAAATTAACTTTTAAATTTTACCGAATTGGATCCTTTACATTTATATATAAAAATATACTTACGAAGTTGTTCCAATTTATTGATCGATACTAACCTTAGATTCTTGCCCTTGAGAAATTAATCAATACGTTCTACTCAAGCTCCTTCATCATGACAGTTCATCATTTTAGGGATCAGGAATACTTATAGAAGCATTTCAGCATTTCCCTGTCCACCATTGTATGATTTACCAGCGTCAGGAAACGAACTAGAACGTGTCGTATGGAATACAAACATGAAATTCGTTCCCAAACTGTTTTTTAATTTATTTAGTTTTTTGATCGGATTCATCAGGTAAATTGATGCTAATTCCTGCAGTCTACTATTTTGAACCCTATTTTAGGAGAAAAACTAGGTTATCGATACCGAACAATTTATTTCTTACGGACAAAAATATCGTAGTAGGATACTTTTCGGATCCTGTGTGAGGATTTTGGGAATTCTCAAATTATGTCTCTTCATCGTATATTGTAGGATCAGTTTTTATCAAGTACTATTCATAATTAATTTTAAATAAAAATATTTAAAATGATTTTTTAACGTACAATGTACGATAAATGTACACGATTTGAAGATTTTCAGAATTATCTCAAATAAGATCCGGAGAGAATCCTCACTCAAATATATCACCACGCTCCACTCCTCTGACGTGTCATGCCACCCTTACCTCACTTTTATCTCACCCTTTCTTTCACACCATCCTCAATCCGGTTTCGTACCTAAGAACCTCTACCATTTTAGATGTCAATTTTCCAGCCTCTCTCTCACAAAACAAAAATGGATCACAAAAACTCTCCAATCATCACACCAATTCACTCACCAAACCATCTTCTATTCGCCATTGTCTTGCTTCTGTTATTCCATTATGCAACTCCATTAACCTACAATTTCTCCAGCTTTCCCAACAGCACTATCAACAGTTCGATATCTCTGGAGGGAGATGCTTATACTGACGGCCAATTCATCCAACTCGCCAAAATCCATGAAACAGCCGCACTTAGGAGGAACGGGAGCGTCGGTCGAGTAACTTACCGCGAACCCTTCCTCCTCCGTGAAAACGCCACTGGAAAACTTGCCGATTTCACCACACATTTCACCTTTGAAATGGACCCGCTAAACAATACCTATGCCGACGGGCTCGCCTTCTTCGTGGCGCCAAACGGTTCCTTGCTCAACCGCACACTAGGAAGAGGCGGCAGCCTCGGCCTTCCCGTGGAGCACCTGAACTTAACTCTGTCCAGGAGTCAGTATCCCTTTGTTGCGGTGGAGTTTGATATCTACTGGAATCGGATGCCAAGCATCGATGACCCGTTACGGCGATCACGTGGGAATCAACATCAACTCTCTCAAGTCTTATATCACCAAGCCTTGGAATGGAAGTCTTTTGGATGGGAAGCAAAATGGTGCTTGGATTAGTTATAATTCCGGCTCAAAAAATCTTAGTGTTGCTTTCACTAGTTATGTAAATGGTAGCCAGTTGACGACTTATCTTGATTACGTAGTTGATCTGGAACAATACCTACCGGATTGGGTCATTGTTGGGTTCTCCGCTGCCTCCGGTGCTCGGACTACTCAATTCATGATCAAATCATGGAGTTTCAATTCTACACTAGTTCCTCCGCCAAGATCCAGCTCAGGAAGTAACAATATAGCACTGGCTGTTGGGTTGGGCATCGGTGGATTTATTGCGTTTGTTTTAGGATTAAGTTTTGTTTGGTGTCTCTTGCGGAAGAAAAAGGCACGAGGAAAAACTAATACCAATGAAGACCCTGCAATTCATGAGTTGATTGATGGCGAATTTGGAAAAGGGACCGGCCCGAGGATGTTTTCATACAAAGAGTTGGCTTTTGCGACAAGTAATTTTGCAGGGGTAGAAAAGCTTGGAGAGGGAGGATTTGGTGGGGTTTATCGAGGATATATAAAAGACTTGAAGTCATATGTTGCTGTTAAGAAGATATCAAGCAAATCTAAACAAGGGTTGAAGGAGTTTGCATCTGAAGTAAGGATCATTAGTCAACTTAGGCATCGAAATCTTGTGCAACTCATTGGTTGGTGCCACAAAAAGAAACTCCTACTCGTGTATGAGTTTATGCCCAATGGCAGCCTCGATTCTCATCTTTTCACTGAAAAATGCTTATTACTTTGGGGGTTAAGATACAAAATTGCTCAAGGCTTGGCCTCTGGGTTGCTCTATCTACACCAAGAGTGGGAGCAATGCGTGCTACACAGGGATATCAAATCTAGCAATGTTATGTTGGATTCAAATTTCAACGCTAAACTTGGCGATTTTGGGCTAGCTCGACTTGTTGATCATGGAAAACAATCACAAACAACAATAGTGGCTGGAACAAGGGGCTACATGGCTTTGGAATATGTTATCACAGGAAAGGCTAGCAAGGAATCAGATGTCTACAGCTTCGGAATTGTTGCTTTGGAAATAGCATGCGGGAGAAAACCCATCGATCTCAGTTTAGAGAGTAGCCAAGTTGAAATGGTGGAATGGGTTTGGGAGCTTTACGGAGAAGGGAAAGTCATTGAAGCAGCAGACCCGAAACTGCACGGAGATTTTGATGAAAAAGAGATGGAGTGTTTGTTGATTGTCGGGTTGTGGTGTGCTCATCCGGACTATCACTTTAGGCCTTCCATACAACAAGCGATTCAAGTGCTTAACTTCGAAGTTCCGTTGCCCATTCTCCCATCAAACATGCCCGTAGCCACATATTTAGCTCCTCCAGTAGTTCTGTATGGTGATACTAGTACTACTACTAGCTATGAAAAAGGGCAAACTTCTCATCAGTCATCTGGCAGTGCGTTTTCTTATAGAACTGGTTCATGATAGCACATCGTATCTTCTGCAAATTCTTATCAATTTGGTTAGTGAAATATGGTTTCATATATCTGTTCACTATTCTTTTTAGATTTATCGTGTTTTTTGTATTGGTTTAGTACATATAAAATCCCCCACACATTGTATGTGTGAGAAGTTGAAAAAAGAGAAGGCATAAGGAACTTGTAGTTCAAGTGGATAAAAACATGGGTAATGCTAAACTAAATTTGCAAACATCAATAGAAAATAAGCACGTGAATAATAATTCAATCATCATAACCATATCATTTAGTTTACAAATTTAATTTAGTCTTCTTAACGTTACCCTAAAAACATGTACTCTACTATAAGATTTTGTGTTTAATTTCTACTAATTCAAGATCGCTTGTATCAAGATAGAAACAAACAAAAAAAAGTCGGAAAAATGTGTTATGTGAATAAGGGTGAGGAGATTTTGTTTTATTTCATTTTTTGTTGTTCAAAGTGATAGATAGTTACTGTAAAAGAAATGTTTGGATTTCATATTTGAGTTAGGTGTTTTAAGTTCTCCTTTTGTAGAAAAAAAGATGCTCCGATCTAATCCTCATTAATTAGTGAAAGTGGCAGGATTATTAGAACATGACATTGTTTTTAAAATGCAGCTAGTTGTTCAAATAATTGTCGTGCAAGTGGTAAGCTCCACTGTTTGTCACAAATTGTTATTTTTTATAACGATTCCACTTATCAAACAAATTGCTATTTTTTATAACCATTCCACTTACTAAAAGTGACACTACAACCTGTCAACCACCACGAGGAAGTTGAGGAATCTAATTGTAGTATTCAATCAATATTTGTTTAACCATATATACAACTTGTGCTTAAGCATTGCAAGTAGTAAGCTTCTCCAGAATAAAATACTACTAATTAATCATATATTTGTCCGTAGCTTAACAATCAGAGGTGGCTTTGTAGGTAGCAAAATGTGCAATCTCACATGGCGCTATATTTGAATAACTACCGGTAAGTTTCTCAAGAAAAAAAAAAAAACTACTAATTAATCACATATATTAATCCGTAGCCTACAAGTAAACTGTTTGGATCTTGACTGTGTCAATTAAAATACCAAATAAAATATTTAATTTTAGGCATAAACTCCTACAAATAATACATTTACATGACGATGATCTTTTTTTTACTTTTGAGTGTATGCCTGGTTTTGTATCTGTGATATGTTGGACTGAATGGTGTTCATAAACCTTCTGGGCATATATTCCAGTTACACTGCAATACATCTATCTCTAACAGAAAAAGAAAAATTGAATCTAAGTTCTAAATTATTAAGGTTTGTTTGGTACTCTATTTAAATTCAACTTTTTAAACTCAAAAATATTTTTCAAGTTTTAGGCATTGAAAACTTATTTGGTAAGATTATATTAAAAAAATAAACTAAAAACTAACTTAAAGAAATAGCTTATTCTCTAAATTGGTAGGAGTATTTACTAAATACTATCGTTTGTTAAAAAAAATAAAATAAAATTCATTTTTGGTGTTTTTAGAGAATAAGGGAGTGGGGTGGACTTAGCCTCATAATGGGTTAGCAATAAGCCCAATAATGAGGTTCAAATTCGCATTTGCATGAGAATTGAACTTAAGACCTCTCACTTACAAGTGAAACGGAATACCACCAAGTCATAATATTAAGTAATGAGTTCTTAAAGTTTTTAAATTTAAAATCAATCCCCCTTTCTTTCTCGCTCTTCCCTCTCCTATCACTCCGAATCTCTCTTTTCTTCTTCTTTCTCTCTCCTTCTCTTTATCTCTTTTCTTTCTCTCTTCTTCTCCTTTCTTCTTTCTATCTCCTTCTTCTCTTTATCTCCTCCTATCATCTTTCTTCTTCATCCTATCTTTCTTTCTTTTCTCATTTCTCCTCTTTCTCCCTCTCTTGCAGCCCTTCTTTTGGATCTCTTTGTCCAGTTTAAATTTTAAGATTTAAAAACAATTTAAAATCTCATACAAAACAAGTTTGTGTTGTAGGTATAATTTACCGAACAATTATGAAGGCCATAGAGAGAGGGGTACGGCAATAGTAGAGAGAAAGAGAGAGATGTGTAATTGTGAGGTGTGTTCTATTCTACCCCATTGTGCCTTTATTTATAGTAGTAGGGAAGGTTAGTTCCTTATCCTTTTAGGATCACAACTCTAATAGGATATTAACTACTAAAGGAATATTCAAAGAACAATGCTTCAACCTCAGGTCAAGGCATAAATGAGTTTTTCTAAGATCCTTCATCTCAAATTCCATCTTCAGGTGCGAGACAGTTTTCTCAAGCTCTTCCAGAGTCTTAGTGAGATTCATGTCAACGACATAAACTATAACTCTAGCAATTTGGAGTAAGACTTCATAGTTTAACACACAAGGGCATTCATTCATATCCTGACTGATCAAATAATCACTTAGACGGGTATACCACATCCATCAGATTATTTCAATTCATAAGTGAATGCCTCAAACAATTTAAGAGGGTGTTCCGTGGTTTGGAACTATTTGAATCAGTCCATGTAATTCTTCAGGAACTTACATGTAAACCTCCATATTACTATCCACATGGAGAAACACTAGCCACATTTCCTAATGCTGCTATCAATCACATGACGTTTGAGAGAAACCTTGCGTCGTAAGGTGTGCATCATATCGCACTATTTCATTCATCTTATAACGCTTCCTTTCCTACTTGTAACACAATAGGGGTACCTTGGGTAATGTAGGAACGATAGGTCCAAAACACACTTTGGTAAGGAATTTAACCTGGATTGTAATTTCGGTTGTCTAATCAGTTCTATGTTGTCACTTAATCAATGGAACACAGTTCGATATCGTCGCTTTTCATTTATGTTGGTAGCTATTATATAAGTTAAAACATCATCAACGGTAATCTCATTTCAATTCCATTAACTTATCCAAACTAGTATACTGGACCAAGAACTTCAAGTTTCGGGAGTAATCCGGATTAATCTCATAAGATAGAAATGATTTGAGACAGCGATTAGTATGGATTCATTGTTGTGTCATGTCTTCCTCTTCTAGGGAAGTGAATCCTATGAACCGAGTGATCTATCGTGCTCCAGGCCAAGACAAATTGATTAGCTATCTGCCGGTGTACCAGACCATCTAACAGGGGCGTCCAAACCATCTAACAGGGGTGGCACACCCTTCAAGGATGTTGACTTGACATCCGTTAAGTACGTCTATCCTTGCAAGCATGTTTGTAGCTGGTATATGATCTCGTCACTTTAGCTAGATTAGAGGAATGCATCTGGAGCAACATTCTGAAAGCTAGAATTCATCGCACTTGCTTATTACACTTGTGCAATATAGGGATCGAGATAAGACATAATGGGCAACATCCACGTAAATTTGCGTCGTTCTACATGAATATTGACATTCTTATCTCCTCCTAATAGCAGGAAAACTGTCTCATTGAAGTGACAATCCGCAAATGAGCAGTAAAGAGATCGCGTACAAAGGCTCTAAGAGATAGTGTGAAGGAGAATCATGTTCGACAAAGATTCACATCCTTCTTTGAGGACCCATGTTGGTACATTGAGGCAGCGCAACTTGGCACATGAATGCACACCTAAATGCATAAATACAAAAAGCATCAGGTTTGTACCCAGTAACCAACTATAACATCGTATAGGTTGGGTGGCAATGGGCCTCAAGACAAACCAACATAGCTACGTACAAGATTGCATAGCCCTAGGCAGAAACCGAAAACTTGGTACGTTTACCAAGGTCTGAGTGATCAGTTAAATTGCGCTTTATGATAACTAGGCGAGGCTATTTGGGGTGAACATGGGAATTCGATGTTCAATTATAAACCCAAAAGACATGCAATACTTTATCGAAAAAACCATCGATATAAACTCTCTAGCATTATCTAGTTTCCTGGACTTTATGGGATATGTAGGGTGGCGAACCCTTAATCAACCATGGGGTTTAGCAGCAATGTGTGTAAACAAACATGTGACCAGTTTGTCGACTCATTAACCAAACCCATACGTATTTATATGGTCCTCATTTTGGTTGGATTAGTCCATATATATTCCCTTCAATCCACTGTAAAAAAGGGTGATTTTGTATCTTTGCAAGGGATGATTTAGAAAATCAATTTCCCTATTGAGCAGGCTTGGCAAAGTGTGCTTGTAGGCACAAGATCCTTTCATCGGGTAAGGAGATGCATTGTAGCATCATTGTTCGACCTAAGTGTCCCAAAAGGTCGTGCTAAGGCAAGTAAACTGCTTACTAACCAGGCTTTAGGCCAGCCACATGTGGTGTGTTCCTAGTTGGGAGAGAACCCTATTGACCCTAAATCAAAGTTTCAGGCTTATTTTTGGAGGTGGTGCAAAGATATGTCGCTTTATTTTCTTCAATGGTTTCATTCTTGATCATTGTCAACTCGAATATCCTTTAAAACTTAACGACGGGGAGAATATAAGGTCCCTTAAATGGTAATTCAGTACCATTCATACAACGAGGATCGTGGCAATACTCTTAATCAGGTTGGATAGACCTTAAGTCATTGCTAGAGATATGATTTAGGTATAAAGTCAGTGTGCGTGGTATCACATTCATGCAGACAACTAACTTTCCACATTCGTACCTAATCACGTGTTTAATTGAATTATGTCACATGTTTTAAGAAACATGATTCAATTAACTCGTATTTGAGGATAATATCAATAAGATGTAACGGAAAACAAACACCAAACTTGAATCCAAGAACATGGAAAAATATTCATAAAGTAAACCAAAGTTACTAAGGGGATTTGGCCAACAACGCCATTCATGTCAAAATTCTGCTCTTCCAAAGGTGTCCGATGAACCAAAACTAGTCTCACATATTGACTATGAGAATGGTATTCCTCAACGATATTGGTAGGGGCACGAACAGGTGCATAACCAATGATCTAATCCATCAAGACGGAAGTATTCTGCAGGATTAAGGTTCAGGAATACTATCCCTTATTCTTGAAGTTTGAGGTCTTAGGTGCCAAAGATCACACTTCGGGCGTGATGTCACACCTTAGCAGGCCCTGATTGTACCATA